CTGTCCGAAGTTGTCTCCGGGGTCATGTGGCCGGCATGACTCAACGCCGAAGGTGCACTGAACGCTGTTCCCTTCCCACCAAAGGTGGTTCCTGTTTTTCTACTTGCATTTTTTAACGTGCTTTCGAACTTTTCGGTTGGCAGAAGCTGGGACAAGTCACGGGAGCTCACTCCGTTACGTGGCGCTGGGGATTCGAACCGCCGACTTTTCTGATCGACAAGCTTAGCGTCTTAGCCACTGAGCCACAGCGTCCCACTCTAAAAAGAAAGCAACATCCCGCCCCCCCCCAAATCTTGTGGGGAGGGAGATTTGCACCTTACTCCCTCCTATTTACTCCCTGGAGCCAAAAGCAGCAATACCCCTTAAATGTAACCCGTGGTTCCCGACCCAGGGCAACTTCCGGGTTTGCACGTGTGGACTCCAACTCCCAGAGTTCCACCGCCCGTGTATCCCTGAGCATGCTGGGAGTGGAAGTCTTCCGATCTGGAATTGCAAAGGAAGGAAACCAGCAGCGAGTTTAGTTACTCCACGTTTAAACTGGGGCTGGGTTCGCTCCCCACCAGCCCACCCCAAGACTCTTCTGGATCGTGCATCCTCGCGTGCAGGGTGGAGAGCCCCGGAACACGCATCTAGGGGTGCAAACGACCGTCTCCGGCCGGCCAAGAAAGAAAAACCGAAACTCTCTTTTAACTTTCTACTCCCCTTCCCACGACCTTGCAAGCCCCCCCCCTCAGAACAAACGCGGTCCCTCCCTTCCTTCTTCCCTTCTTATCTAATTTCCTTCCCTTCCTTCTTTCCTCCTTTCCTTTCTTTTTCTTCTTTCCTTCCCTCCTTTCTATTTTACCTGTCTTCTTTCCTTTCCTCCTTCCGTCTTCCTTTTCTTTCCTTCCTCACTTTCCTTCCCTCCATATTTTACTTTCCTTTCTTCTTTCCTCCTCCCCTCTCCTCCTCTTATCTTCCTTTGTCTTTCCTTCATTTTACTTTCCATTCCTTCCCTTCCCCTTTACTTTCATTTTCCTTCTTCCCCTCTCCTTTTATCTTCCTTTCCTCCCTCCCTTTTATCTTCCCCCGTCCCTATTTCACCTTCTTTCCTTCCCCTTTGCTTTCATTTTCCTTCTTCCCCCCTTCCCTCTCCTTTTATCTTCCTTTCCTCCCTCCCTTTTATCTTCCTCCCTTCCCTATTTCACCTTCCTTCCTTCCCTTTGCTTTCTTTTTCCTTCTTTCCTCCTTCCCTCTCCTTTTATCTTCCTTTCCTTCCTCCCTTTTATCTTCCTCCCCTTTCACCTTCTTCCCTTCCCCTTTGCTTTCATTTTCCTTCTTCCCCCCTTCCCTCTCCTTTTATCTTCCTTCCGTCCCTCCCTTTCACCTTCCTCCCTTCCCTATTTCACCTTCTTCCCTTCCCCTTTGCTTTCATTTTCCTTCTTCCCTCCTTCCCTCTCCTTTTATCTTCCTTTCCTCCCTCCATTTTCTCTTCCTCCCTTCCCCTTTGCTTTCTTTTTCCTTCTTTCCTCCTTCCCTCTCCTTTTATCTTCCTTTCCTCCCTCCCTTTTCTCTTCCTCCCTTCCCTATTTCACCTTCTTCCCTTCCCCTTTGCTTTCTTTTTCCTTCTTTCCTCCTTCCCTCTCCTTTTATCTTCCTCCCCTCCCTATTTCACCTTCCTTCCTTCCCTTCCCCTTTGCTTTCATTTCCCTTTCTTCTTTCCTTCCCTTCTCTCTTTCCTCCTCCTTCTTCCCCTTCCCTTCTTCCTTCCCCCTTTCCGCCCATGCGGCTCCCCTGATCCGGCTCCGCGATGCTGCTCCTGTTGCAGGTTCGTGGCGCGTGGGCTTCCCCGCGGGCCCGCGTGGGCTTCTCCTCCCTCCTACGCGGGGGCTTCCCCAGCGCCCGGCTCGGGGTCCCCCCGACGGCCAAGCGCCTCTGGAGCCCCGCCGGCCGGCCGGCG